TTGTGTTTAAAAGTCCAAAAAGTTTATTATTTGCTCAAATATCTGGAAATTAATGCACACAATGGTCAGACAAGTTTCTTTTACTGAAAGGTTTACAACACATCAAATACAGCTCAAGTTACACAATGATTGCACTACATACCTAAGTCAAGAATGAACTAAAAAATACATTAATGACAATAGCAATTCAAAAGTAAAAAAAATACACAATTCAGTAAAACACACAAGCTCTGCTTCATATAAAGTTTCTTCTTCTCCACTGCACGTCTGTTAATGACAATAGCATAGCAAACAAATGCTTAGCTTTTACATAACTAAAAAAAAACTAAGTCAAAAAAACCTAAGTTAAAAAAAAATTACACAATTCAGTAAAACACTCATAAGTCCAGCAAACAAGTGAGCTACTTCAAATAAAGTTGCTCCTTCACTCTAAAGCTGCTGTGTCCACAAGCCTAACACTTTAGGCCTCCACCTCATGTGTACATCTTCTCCTCCATTGCATTTTTCTAGGATTTTTTCGCGATAGTACGACCATAGTCTTGCATATTTTTGGTGATATGTTCAGATATAATGTTTTTTGGAATTTTTAGCACACATTATGCACTTGGAATTATGTTTTCGGGCATTAGCTATTTAAGGAATTAAGCATTTTAAGATGAATTTATAAATAAAAAAAGATTTCATGACTTATTTTCATCAAGCTTTTGTCACATATTTAAAATAAATAATAAACAAAACCAAAATTTTTGATTCTGTAAATGAAAATATTTTTCTTCCAAAAAACTTTTATTTAGAAATGTATTACTAAAGAATATTGCTATTGATCAGTGGTTGATCTACAAATAAAAAGATTTCAAGTTTCAATCTATCATAAGAACTTTTATTTTGAAGAAGTAAATTTTGAAAAATTCAGGAGAATTTTAAACACAGTTCAAACAATTGAAAATGGTTGTTGTTTGAAAAATAAAAAACATGCATTTTTCTGAATTAAAGGTTATACCTACATATTTTAGGGGAAATTACTGCCTTTATATTCATTTTTTGTAAAGAATTATTTTGAGACAACTGGACGTGGTAGGTTTTTTAGAGACGTTTCACCTCTAATCCAAGAGGCTCAGTTTTGACTGATTACTGTAACTATTTTTTGATTTAATTACCTGGATGACAGAGAACCTACACAGACATGTCTCAAATAAGTGTATTTTGTTGAATTGTTTTAGAAAATAATTTTCTTTGGATTTGTAACTTACTTGTGTGTTACAGTGTCTCTGTGTCCAACTCCCCAACTTGTCAGACAGAGAGGACATCATCCTGGACATGTTTTCCCGTAAGATGTTTTTGGTTCCACATCTGCCTCAATGCGACGGCGGTGTGAAGCCAAAAAGGAGGACAATGCTCTCCAGGTCTGCATCATTGAAAAAAAAATACTGTTAAACAAAATGTAAATTACAACTAATTGTTAAAGACATGGACATACTCGCATGCATTGAGCGCTAAAAAGAAACAACTGATAATTGGCCTTAATTATACATTTTTAATGATTAATCAAGAAAAAAAAATCACGTACTTACTGTAGGTACGTCAGGCAAAAACAAATAGCTGGATTCAGTCCAACTGCAAAAAAGGTAAAATACAGTTTTTCACAAGTTTTTTACAAGTTCACTCATACACCATGGAATCTCTCTCTTATACAAACTGGTGGTAAGGATGAGTCCAAGTACTTGTGAAAAAAGAGAAAAAAATCAAAACACTGACTTTTTTTTTTTTGGCAAATTAATTCATAAAATGTTTTGGTAAAGGTAGAAAAACCTACACAAAAATGAACTTTTATATTTTTAACAAGTAACAGACATCAAGTTGTGGAGCTTTTGAAAGGCATCGCCCACAAAGTGATTGTTGTTCTGCTGCAGTTTTTTCTTCTCTCTTAATAAGATCTTAATAAAATTTCTAAAATAATCTTCCAACGTTGTTATATTACTGATAGCAAACTGTTAAAGGCTCAATAAGTCAAATTTATCACTAGCGTATCATATTACAGTTCGCTTATAACACGTTTAATCTTTTTAAATGTGGTTATGTGAAGACTAGAATCTGCACCGCAAGCCCCCTGCTGGTAGAAACAATAAGCCCGCAGAAATTCGTTAAAATTATTAAAAAGGAGTCTGCCAGGCAATTTAGGTTATTTCAAGTGTACATTATATTCATAAAACTTGTTTTCCTCCAAAATGTAACTCTCCATTTTAAGCACATCAATAGACTAAAATTTACTCAAGTGTATTGCTACTTTAGGTGGTGGGTTTGTGTCACTGATAAAATACTGAGAGAAAGATTTCAAACACTGCAGTGCCAAAGCACAATTGTAGCCACTCATGCAAGCTCAAATGAAACACCAATTCCTGTGACATCCTTCAAACTATACATTTTTATGGCATAGTAGATTTTTGCTCTGATCGTGAGTTTGAGAAGGGCTGGTATAAATTAACACTTCAACTTAAACGTGATCCGTCCCTTTAAGCTAGTCAGACTCTGTCCAGTGTGAAGGCCTCAATGAGTCCAGAACTGTGTTCAGTGGTAAAAACCCACAGCATTAATAAGAGAATATAGGTCCAGAGTTTTTAAACCTGCAATGTGATGATGCCCCTTAATAGTCGTCACTTTAACTTGTGGCTTTGACCCAGTGTGAGTGAACAGGGTCAGGGTGGATCACATAGGATCCAATGGCACTGCCCAGAGTCACCGTGGGGCAATCTCCTGCATCATAGCAGGCAAGTAGAGGGTCAGACACGAGTCTTACGACACTTACTGTATCGGTGTCTGGCAGTTATCGATGCGGACTCTCAGATCCTCACTCTGCTGTAGGATGTGAATACTGTGATCCTCCAGAGACAAATTCTTCTCCACCTGGGACACAGAAACATCATACAGTGAAGAACAACAGTGGCAATGCACCCAACATAAAACTATTTAGTGCCAGTGATTTACCAGCACATCCATCTGCTGCAGCTTCTTGATCTGCTCCTGCACTTGTTCACTCTTCATCTCGATGACAAACAGAAGTGACTCTTGCTCACACTCCAAGAACATACCTGGGCTTCCATGTGTCTTCTCACCGTGTGTTAGAAAAGAAGACTTAGGGGTCACCGTGGGACAAAAACGTATAATCTTTTATGTTGTAATGTTGTATAAACTAAATATACACACAAACTTTAACAGACTTCAACTGGACATTGCATACTAGTGGTGTTGACTTAATAAGATCTCAGACACACACACAGAAATGGACATAGCTAAGTATTTCTATTATAAGGCAAATGAGTGTATTTTTAACCATTTTTGAGAAACTTTTATTCTCAAAGATTTGTTCAGGAACTTATTGGTATAGTATATTACTGTGATCAAACGTCGACGTACCAAAAAAGTATATTTTTTCATAATCATTCAGTCATTCAGTAAATTTCACATAATCACAGGTCTATTGGTTCTAAGATACAGTAAGTCTAAATATAATATATGGATAAGAAACATAAATATACCTGAGAAGGGCAACCTGCCTTTTTAAAGATGCTCTTCAAAGAAAGTCTGCTTTTGCTTTTCACCTTAGCTGTCCTGTATACTTGTCATGCTTGACCAGGTCCAGTCAACATCTGCCAGAGAACAAGAGAGGGAAGGAGAAACACAATCCTTCTGATCAGCTCAGGTCCCTTAGCTAGGATCCAACTTCTCCACACTCAGTTAACTCTGGGAATTAACCAAATCAAATTTAAATATCAGTGTGAATCACAACTTTATTTTATTTGGTAGATCAATATTTCAAGAAAATGGATAACAAGATAAATAACAAAGACTACACCTTGGACCTTGACCCGAGTGACTGTAGTCCTTGTTGGTCTGTGGCTGACGAGGATGCTGCCTATTATGTCTGTAACCCAATCGCTTCAACGTCCTCCGGGTGGTTCTGAGAGAGATGGGCGTCTCTGGTCCGCTGCTGTTGCACAGAGCTTGGATCTCATCCGTCGTAGCCTGGATGTTAACCTCTACCACCTTCTCCATCATTCTCTCTCCACTCTCACCCACAAGACGTTTTCTGCCGCCGGTCCCCCGCTGACTGCACGTCTTATGACTTTCATGCCATTCAAGGTAAACCCGAGAGACGGCGGTTTTGGAAAATCGTAAAATCTGCACAGTCTGTGAGAGGCTGCAGCCGGCGTTGCGGACTCTCACTATCGTCCCCCGTTCAAACTTATCCGTGACTTCTCCATGAATCACAGTTGCAAACTATCCTGGCGTCTGTTCATGTTTGTAGTGTGGTGTTGTCTTCTTCTTTTCCACTTAAACCAACCTAGAAGTCTGCATTAAGGAACATCACTGCCACCTACTGCGTCAAGTGTACAATTTACCGTGTTCTACATTTAAATCAAGTTTTAAACAAGATTTTATTGTATTTCATTATCGACATATCATATATCCAATATATGTACTCTATAGCAAAGTGGGCCGGGTTTGGGCATTAAAATTGGGAGTAAACAGGTGTTTCTGTGGTATTTTAATACATTTACAGGCAACATTTAACTGAGTTTAAATAGAGCTTGGTGTAACAGAGTGTCACATCTGTCTTCAGAAACAGCTGTTTTTAAGTCTTTGTTTTTGTAAGAGTCCACGCCACGTGTTAAACTCAAGGTCCGTGGGCCAAATGTGGCCCGCCAAGTCATTTTGTGTGGCCCGTGGGTGCTTAAAAAGCATTTGCCTTATAATACAGTTAATGCTGCTGTTTTAATAAATTGATTATAAATTTATTACACAGCAATGTGCAATATTTGTAACTTTAATAAATAATAATCCATTTACTTTTATTTTCCAGGCAGTGCTCTACTTTCATCAAGGGCTTCCCTACATGGCACTAGAATGCGACCTGTTGAGAGTGTGATGGTGATGGATTTCAGCCACTGATGGGAATGCATTAGTTTTACAGCAGGAGACAAAGTGCAGATAGTCATCGAGAAACACGCAGACAGAGTTGTCCCCTCCAGGGCTTTTCCCAGAATGCCAATGTTTTCTGTCTGTTGTCTCTAAAAATATAGTCAGCATTATTAGATCAAGGTCAGAATTCTCCGAACTAATTTTTGAATTAGTCAACTCTCCACATGACTCTCATGTAAGTTAGTGAAGAAAAATATCCAAATAGTAAACTTCAATCTTCAAATCAAATAAATTATTTTTTCTCTTCTTTAAACTAAAGATTTTCAATTACTGTGCATCTGCTACAGGAATGTTTTTTTTTTTAATTTCCAACTGAAAACAAACACTCTCTGAAGGCCCAAATACAGTATCTCTGAACTGAAATGAACTTTACCTCCAAAGCTACACTACTCACAGTATAAAATCCACAAACAAAAATCCCTCCCGCCTCTTAACTCTGATTTTCCAAGTTGAACATGTGATGATATTGAAACTGTGACAAGGCTTTGAAAGGCTTAGAGCCAAGGTATGCAGGCTAATGCTGCTAAACATCACATTCCCTCTGGTTAAATGACTGAGCCGTGCCTGGCGTTTTACATTCCTGCAAATTATTTTAGCAGTACGTAGTGCAGAGAAGATTAGATTTTCAAAAAAGGCAGATTATACTATACTATATAAAGCCTCATATGGAAATGTTTAACTTGATACGTGATATATATATATATATGAGTGTTATTAAAAAATAATAAATAAAAACAAAAACAAAAAAAGAAAATTTAAATCCAGATAAACAGAGCTAACAGCGAGCCAATATTCTAACAGAAAGCTAAATGTTAGCGAAGACTGCTGGGGATAGCCATAATAGCTTAAAATTAGCTAAGATAAATGAAATATATATACAGTATGTATACGTATATATATGTATAAATTGTATACACCGCTAAATGCTAGACATGAGATAAGATAGAAAGATAGCTGTGGATCAGTTGTTAAAAATATGTAAATTCTACTAACAGTCATTATCTTGCACCATGGTGAAGAAGAACAAGCAGAAACTGGACCAGGACTTGTTGCAATACTCCTCTGCCAGCTTCCTGTTGACAGGCTGACACGACCTGACAGTCGTAGCCGCAGGTGGAGCAGATGTGGTCGTCTGTGGATCGTACAATCTGAAATGAGCTTCTTTTTCCGCTCCTCTGCACATCCCAGCTTTGACCAGAGCTCTGTGGTTTTCACACAGACTCCTCTGTTTTTTCAGTGCTCTGGAAATCTGTTTCCAGTAGAGTCCGACGTTAGCAGCGTACTCTGTACACAGAAACGGCTTGCCTACGTATTCACAGCTGACACTTCTGCTGCGTCCTTTTTTGCACGTCACACTGAGGACGAGTAGATCCTGGCCTGCGGCGGCCCAGGTGCACTCAGATCTGTCTCTGGTCACAACTTTGCCCTTAACTTGCTGAGCAGAGGTGGATTTAGGCTGGCGGCTCAGCTTCTCACCTCTGTCCACACCTCGTCCATTTTGTCCATCAGCCTTATGGCTGCAGCCCAACATCAGCTCATAGGAAACACAGGCGAGAAGCAGGACGATGGTGGTGGTGTTGGTGGAAGAAGCCATTGAAAACAAAGAGGACTGGCTGGAGAGAGATGAAACAGAGTTAAGAAAATCTGGAATTATATCGTCTCTTTTCCTGTGTGTGCTTGTTGACTTTGGTGTGCCTCAGGGTTCAATTCTTGGAACTCTGCTGTTCTCTTATAAAGATCAAGATATTGATAACATGCTAAGAGGCAACTCAAATTAAATAAATACAAAATAGACCAGAACAACCACAATGTTACAAAATTGTAACAAAACAGATAAGAGTTAGTAAAACAACTTGTGATTTAAAATTCAGAACATGACAACAAAAGCTTAAAGTTCACTAGATAACTAGGAAAAAATAATCAACAGTCAGAGACAAGAATGACGATAATATAACATAATATAATATAATAAAGTTAGGACTCACCTGAAGCAGCGTAAACTTGCGTTCGTTCTCCTGGGAGTCACAGTCAGTCTGCTCTGCATGCTGCTGTAGCTGCTGCAGTATCAAGAACAGACCTCCCTACACCCCCCCCCCCCCCCAACAAACACCCTACAAAAAACCGCACACAGAGAAACACAAGCGTGCATGCTTGTACACACAAGGCGCGAAGTTGATTTGAGTAGAAGTTGATTTGAGTTTAGTCTTTGTTAAAAGTCTTTGTTAAAAACGATTGTGGGAAGATGAATTACACCAGCTTCTTGACTAGTTTCTTTTTAACGGTCAATTTTCTTTAACAAATAAGGCCATCGTTATTCATAGCTATTCTTTCACTGTTAGGCAATTCATGTATTTGTTTAAGCTTTTGCATTGGTTCTAATATTTTATAGTATTTAAAGTAACTATCAAAATTTTAGGTTTTAATTTGCTTGCAGCTATATTAGCAGTATTTTTTTGTAAGGATTTAGACAATTTCTATCTGTTTTTTGGTCAATTCTGCTTCATTGGGACCAAAGTTCTGCTCCCCATTGGAACTTCTCATCCCTTAAACAACAGGAACCACATTCATACGATTGATTCAACCATGATTTAATTATAACCATCTCACCAAAATCATTTCATCTGCAGTCCCTGAACTCCTCTCTCCTGTTACAGAACAAATCCCGATGTGACCAGAGTTGTGGACCTTTGTTCAGACTGATGAGGAATTTACTTCAACAATAATCCGTTGTGGCAGATTGAGCTGCTTCTGCTGCAGGACGGGTCAGATGACAGTGTTAAGATGACATTTAATATATCTGGGTCTTTTAAAGACACTTCACTCCACCATCTGCTGCAACAGTGAGTCGGCGTTTTTTTTTTCTTTTCGGAAAATTACGTTGCAATGTCCCTACGTTGCAAATAAGAAGTTGGCAAACTGAGGCAATAGTGACATCTTCAGGTCAAATTTAGGACGTTGCTATACACTAGAAAAATAACTTCTGCTTATTGGACTTCTTGTTTTTTTATATTGTTCTATTTTGTATTATTTGTTTTCTCCCTGTACCTCTTCCGGTATGGTATTGGCTGATCACTTTACAAATGATGACTGAGTTTGAGTTTTTTGTTTTGTTTTTCAACAAAACTGTTTTTAATACATTATGTTTTAGGTTAATTTGCACCATCTCTACTTTCTGTACATTTGTTTCTGCAGTTTCTGATGAACACGACGCATCAGTTTTAAAGTCCAAGAGCAAAAAAAAAGAAAGAAAGAAATTTTAGTTCTACGTAATTTTGTTCCACAACCTTTGTTTTCATTTCCTCTCAGCCACAGTCTGTTTGGAATACAAACAAATATATACATTAAAATGAACAGGCAACAAGTTTATTGTGGCGTTCACCCTCTAGTGTCTGAACTCATGTAAACGCAGACACAGCAGCTGTGTGTTTAAAAAAAAAGTGCAGGTGGAGTCTGGTTCAGTGTGCTCAGTTTTGGAGTTGTATGTCCTGCACAGAGACAGTTTCTTATTGATAGAGACAGAGGAAACTGAGCAGCAGGTCTTGTGAGTTTCTCATAGGTAGTGATCAGCCTGGTTGTGGGAAAAAAAAAAAAACTGCACAGGATTTTTAAGTCCAGTTTGAGTCCTCTGGTCCTTGGGATCGTGAAACACAGGCCTGGGGAGGCAACACAGTCTGTTCAGAAATAACCAGGTAAATGGTCTACTTGAATATCAATATCAAATACAGAAATTACAAAACAGTGAAGTTTTTAGTCATTTGTGATATCTAACTAGCTGGCTTACTAACCACCACTTCTATTTGTTCTAGTGGATAATGTTTTTTATTGAAAGACATGGATTCATCTTACTTGTGAATCTTCTCAGTCATCCAGGTCATCATAATAATCTCCAAAGCAGTTTTAACTGGACTCACCTCAGGTAAATTGAAGATGTTTCTCCTCTCATCCTAGAGGCTTCATCAGTTCTACTGTCCTGGTGGGGAGTTTCCAGGTATTTATCTATCCACCCCAAAGGGGCGTGTGGTGTCGAGTAAAGTGGCCATGGGCCCGAAACAATATGACCATTAAGTGGTCATGCATTGAGCCATACGTTTGGCTGTAATGGCTGTTTCATTTCTCCAATGTACAGGTCTGAGCATTCCTCATTGCACTGCACTGCATACACCACATTGCTCTGTTTGTGACTGGCAATCTTGTCCGTAGGGTGGACACGTTTCTGCCTCAGGTTGTTGCTGGGCTTGAAATGCACCGGGATCTGATGGGTGTTAAAGATCCTCCTGAGTTTCTCTGAAACTCCCGCCACAAATGGGATAACAATGTTGAATCCCATGACAATCCCACACCACACCCTGGTGTCAAGTAAAGTGGCCATGAGCCGAAACAATATGGCCTTTGGGGTGGAAAGATAAATACCTGGAAACTCCCCACCAGGACAGTAGAACTGATGAAGCCTCTAGGGTGAGAGGAGAAACGTCTTCAACTTACTTGAGGGAGTCCTGTTGCCTACTTTAAAACTGCTTTGGAGATTAATTCATCTTCTAAAAACTATTTCTAAAAATCTTTTTACTCTGACATTTTCTCTATAATATTGCAAATTTATACTGCTTGGATTCTGTTACTCAGAACAACAAATATTCCGAGCAACAACTCCAAAATGGGTTTGATTTCATTCAGCCAAGATTCAATGATCAGATTAAATGTAAAGAAAAAGGAAAACTTACAATATCACTTCCAGTTTTGGACGGCACTGAAAATAGAAAAAGAAAAAACATATTAGAGAAATACTAACAAGGTTTACCTTTTAAATATCCCATAAATAATTCAACACAAGCGAGTACAGAGAATTTTTTTCTTCTGAAACAGCCATGGGATCGATGGAGCTCCAGCAGAATTTTGAAATAAAAGACACAGGAGTGAAGTCGGTGATGCTTTCATCAGACTCTCTGGGAATTTTTCAAAGAAAAGATTGTTCCATTCTTTTCCATTAAGGATGGATTTCTGTTGCATCAGTCACACAAAATTCTGTGTGTTAACTATTGCATTTTATTCACAGTATGACTTATTTAAAACTTTTGTTACTTGGTGAAAAGCTTTAAACAAGCTGCGGCTTCAACTGGTTTCAAACCTAATAATATAATAAACTAATTTAAATATTTTTTATTTTAAGTTATTAGTTTTCTGTTTGGTGTCAGTCACTGAAAAAAACTATAAATTTTGAACTTTTTAAAAGAAAATGGAGAATTTTGTTAGTAAAAAAAAAAACAATAAAAATAATACATACATTTTAATGAATACAAAATAGGACCTATATTCAATACAATATGTTCTAGTAATACTATTTGGTATTGGGTAGCATTAAGTACTTAAAAATATTTTTAAAATATTACTGTCCCTAACCCTAAATATTATAAACAGCCAAACATGTCAATAATCGTTGGCATTGATAGGTAAGATAGGCCAGGTGTTGACTACGCACACATTTATAATGATAGGGATTTACACAAAGTAGAAAAAAATGTCTTAAGGCAGAAAATGACCTCCACAGCAACTTTGGAACCAAATGTTTTTGCACTAAGCATCTAAAAACTGAAATTGAAGAAGCACAAGCACAGCCGTTTGCCTACGATGTGCTGACTCATCAGTATATGCAGTCAGACATAAATATCAACATGACATTTACGGTTCGTTAGCACTTCTCACTATGTTGAGTTCCCTGCACTGTGAGCAGAAAGGACTAAAAAATAAAGCTGGAAAATAGTTTCAGAGAGAATTGAGTCAGAGGTGCTAAATAAGGGAATACAGGAAATAAAGCGAGAAAAATGAGAAGAGGCGAGTGAGACCAAAACGGTCTGACATCAGCAGCAGTGACATGTCAGCTGCATGAAGAAAAATTGTCAGAAAAAACAAAGGAAATGAGAGAAGGAAAAAACAAAAACTCCATTAAAGACAGAGAGCCTGTGTTATATTTAAAGTACAAATACCTTTAGGGAGCCAAGACTCTGTCACCAGTCAATGTGCCTCGGTGGAGCCGAGGCCCTCGGGAACCTGTTCATTGTGTCAAAGGGGGGAATGCTATTGGCACAAGAACACAGTTAAACACACATTAACAGGGGATACTGTGATCCAAACCAATAACAGCTAAAAAAAATGTTTCCTGTCAGTCAAAGAGGAAGAAGCAGGTAAAGAGGCAGAGCAGAACAGCAGCACCGAGGATATCTGGAAATAAAGAGTAGGTTCAATGACCAAATATCAAACTTTTTAAATAAATTAGCAACAGTTGTTTATTATGGTTTTGTTAAAAAAATCTAGAAAAAATTTACCAAACTGTCTGAATAATCCAAAGGTTTGTGATAATTTTTCACAGTACAAAAATACAATGCTAATGATTTTAAAAAGCAAAAGCTTATTAAAAATGTTGAGCTCTACAGATAGTCTTCCCCAGTTAATGCCTCTATGACTGCCCGTGGCTTCACTGTTTTGCTCTCTCTCCTTGCCCTTAGTTACAGCGGGTTGATTGGTCAAATGCACAGCCCTTTTAAATGCAAAATAAAACAACACAACATGCAGTTAGTGTGTTGAATTAAGGAAGAAAATGAAAAACAGCGGGATTCCACAGCATCACACCAAAGCTCGACATGCTTGCCTCTCTCTGAACAAAATGATCAGGTGCACATTCATCGGACTTTGGCTGACGCTACAGACGAGAGAAAACAGGAGTTGTTTCTTAATATTCCCACAACCATTCCACACTGTGCACAGGACATGCAGTAAACATGCAGTAAGTTTGGTGGAACTACTCCATTTCCTCATTAATACACACATTGATATTTTCCGATACACCAACAGACTTTGTGGCAGCACGATTGTTACCTGGAAAATGTTGATTAATCACAATTAATCAAGACTAATTAATAGTAACCCGGTGATTAATCAGATTAACATTTGTCATTTGTCAGCACTAGATTTTTTTTTTCTAATTTGCCACAATAGCGTTTTAGTGTCCATGTTGTGTTTGAACCTTTAGCTCTGCATGCAAAACGTAGATTACATCCCTAGAGCCACGCGTTGCCAACACATGATGTGCAAAGAAATGTATTTCCTCCACAGAAATCCCAGCAAGCAATTGCATATGTGGTGTATATTCTGGCCACAAGTAGTAATCAGAAGTATTCATAATGAAGGCTATGACCCAAACACCTTCACAAAGATTCTGGCAATAGTGGAGCAGACATTCTTGTCTGAACAACTTTTTCCTACCCAACATGCTTTGTAGCCCATCTATTGGCCATCACATGTGGAAAAAAGAGCCCTTCTGATTGGTTGAACCAGAACAGGTTGACTTATCCACTTTAATGGTGGGTCTCATTTAAGATACAGGATATGACTCGGCAAAAAGTTGTGATCCAAACTTTGTACTCATACCCATAAACACCTATATTTGTGACAAGCTTGCTGGGATTTCTGTACTTTTTCTACATAAACATAATAAATATATTTAAAAATTTACCTGGGCATCATTGGATTTGGGATACCTTGTGTATGCTCCCTATGATAACCATTATTACCAATTTCCATACTGAAAATAAAATATTGTATACAAAAAAAATGGATGAAAACAGTGAAATGGAAAACAATGCAGGTGAGAAAAATACTGAAATATGAGTGGTTAAATTTGGCAACAATGTTAGTATAGATACAGTATAAACCACAGTAACATATGTACACTACAGTATACAAAAACATTTGGACCTCTGTTATAAGTTAACGATTGCACGAGCCCTTCCTGTACAGTAATTAAGGGGCACTTTATCAAAGGTAGCACACAACGAGAAGCCATGTCATCCACCCATAGAAGCTCAAAGAGTTAAACCAGCACCAAGACTTTAGTTGAAGGTTTTGGGAATATGTACAGGATTCAGAAAGAGCAGTCAAACGGAGGTGCAGAAGGAGAGGAAGGTGGGAAAATTGTCTTACGTTTTCATGGGAATTGTCTCAGTGCTACAGAGATACACAAAACAACAAGATAACAATCAAGTTACTGGGATTGCACCAGAAAGGTCCCCCATAGACCAGCAGATAATGATCAGAAGCCACTGTTAATTTGACATGATGAGTGCAGACAGAGTCCAGGCCCAAGATATTCATGATCGTACAAATGCGTTGCACTGTTTTTCTTTTTATGTTTTTTTTTTTTTAATAAAGTGCAAAGTGCTTGACAAAAAGAAATGAAACAGAAACAATGAAAGTGAGAAAAATGAGGGATGTGAACGATGGAACTAGTAAAAATGGTTATCACAAAGTAAAATGCCAAGTCCCAGAAACAGAGGAACTAAAAAGAAGAGAGAAAAGGTTGGAAAAAAATATATCAAAAACACAAGTAGTTAGAAGAGTTATTAATTGACCAGTGTCCAAATGTTTTTGCCACATTTATTTTCTAATTAAAAAAATATTATTTTGACCTTAAGTTCTCCACAGGCTAGCTGTTAGTTAACACTTGTCAAACGTTAGCTACAAAAAATAACTGTTGCCTTTTTGTGTTGAAGGAATGTTTTGTTTATGAAAATATTTTTGTTTAGCTTTAAGCAATTTCCGAATCCTTGCCAACATTCACCAAATGTCAGGTCTATTTTTCAATTTGTTTAATTTCCTAGTTTTCTTAAGGCAAAAGAGAAATCATCTTTGTCACATAGCTCTTAGCTCTACCTTTTGCCCAACTTTCTTCATTTTTTAAAATTAATTACTTTTTTATTACAAAAGTTAATATATGTTCTAGAAAACCAGCTCGAGTAACTTTTAGAAATTCTTGCTTATTTTTTTTAAAATACATTTTCAGCAGGTTATGTGCTAATCTTTGGGTTATCATCCAGCCACATTGCTTTAAGGGCACAAAAAGCTCATATATTTGAATAATCTTAATTTAATATTGAGTGACTTGGATTCATTTCCATTCATAATTAAACACATGATACTTTGGGCTTCCATGTACAGTCACATTTGCTTAAACTTTCAAACTGCTTCAGAGTGAAAGGCCCGATTCTGGTAAATTAATTTTAACGTTATTTACCAAGTCATTGAGAGAAAGTGTCTTATAACCATATGTGCATGCTCTACACACAAGAACACATAATTTTGTGTCATTATGGCTTGTTGTCCTAAATTAGGTCTTCTATAAAATCTTGCTATCCATTAATTTAAAAAATACTTTGGCTCTGCCAATAATAAAAAAAAAAGGCAATAGAATAACAACAACAACGACTACTCACTCGTCGTAAACATCCTCCGTGTCCATCCTGCGGTAGTATTTGGCCAGTTTCACTGCCAGGATGATGCTCGGCAGCAGGAAGAGTGTGCTGCAGCCCAGACCCATCCAAAAGGCATTCTGTACAAAAGTGGAAGAATTGCTGTAGTCTGCCTGGATACGAACCACTGACACTTTTTTATTTTTTCAGTCGGGGCTAGACTCATGGGCTAAATGTGACTCCCAACATGACATGACATTTGGTCATGTTTTCCATGTGTACAAGAATAGTGTGTTTATAGTGTATGTGTTATTAAAAATCATATATGAAAATAATTTACAAAATAAGGCAGCAGTAGACTGACAGATTGTTCTTCCCATGAAATGAGAAAATATTTCAAACTACAATATACTGTATATTATTTTTCTTAAAATCAAGCATTACCATAGAGTCCACCAGGAAACTACAAGTCATGATTTCTGCAGTGTCCACTATGTTGCTAAATGGTTTGCATGGTGCAACCTCCAGAGCAATCTAAAGAAGAAAGAAAAGACAGGAGCACATCACATATAAAAAAAATAAAATGTGAATTGTGTCACAACAACCAAAAATAATTAGTGTATAACATTTTAACTGTGCACAATCATTTTTGTGCCTGACTAGTCAAAACAATAGTTAAAAACAAAAATTACCACAGGGATCTTTAAGAGTAAAAACAGATATTGGAATGTTTACAAAATTATCAGACAAGTTTTAGGTTAGCCAAGGGAAAGTTAAATAGTATCACCTGAAAATAAAAGTAGTCTGAAGCGTTTCATCTAAAAACTAGCTAAGAGTTAGCCAGTACATTAACATGCATTGGTAATTTTCGCCACTAGATAAAAGACAGAAACACCTCAAAATTGACTAAGATGTTTTTTAAAACTTAAAAAATAGCTTCATGAAACCTTGAGCCTTCTACACCTTTGCAACAAAATTTACAAATTTATCTTTAACTTCAAATTCAAAGCAAAATGAACCAAAACTGGGGCAAAAAAATTAAGCATTTAAGAACGCTCACAGATTCTTTGATCCAGTCGATGTACTGATTGAAGTAACCAACGATGGTGGCTGAGTATTTGTTCGTTTCCTGGAAAATGATTGTGATAACATAATGAGTTTCACTGAACATTCAAAACACGCTCATGTTAATAAAAACCTATAATAACCATTACCTGATTGGTTAAATGTGTGGAATTCACAGAGATGAGATACTGTGCTGCTTCAACTGCATCCAGAACAGCCACAAGTTTGTTCTGCAGGGACACAGGTAGTGATTTAATTGTTAATCCTGAGGTTAAATGTAATCCTTAGTGTTAAAATAGAGTGAAGATTAATTCTTACAGGCAGATCTGAGGCAGTTCTTTCCAAAAACCTCATACTTTGGTTTAATGCACTCTGAAAAAGAACAACAACGTGTTAAAGTGACATAACATGAAGAGACCACAATGTGTTTAAAATCACAGACATGCAGGAGTGAATAGAATATGGTAAAAACTACAACATGATGAAGATGCTGTTTACGTGATTGATTATAGAAAGTTTCAAAAACAATCACAGATATATACATATA